TTTTTTTTTTTTTTTTTTTTTTTTTTTGCATGAGAATAATTCTTTTTTTATTGTTCACACACGCAAGTGCGAGTGGGGAGGGGCAGAGAGAGAGGGAGACACAGAATCTGAAGCAGGCTCCATGCTGTCAGCACAGAGCCCGATCCGGGGCTCGAACCCCTGAACTGTGAGATCAAGACCTGAGCTGAATTGGATGCTTAACTGAGCCACCCAGGTGCCCCAATTTCTTAATAACAATACCTGATATTTATTAAGTACTTGCTATGTGTTAATCACCTTGCTGTTATTTTTTACTTGATGCATCAGTTTTATAAATTAGGTATTGTTTTCTCATTTTTCCCATGAGGAGATGGAGGCTTAGAGAGGGTAGGATTACTTCATCAAGTTAACTGGTACAATTGGGATTCAAACTCAAGATAAAGTTGGCTTCGAGAAGCTGTCTCATAACCTTTCTGCTATCCAGCCTCCCTTTGAATGAACCAGATTAATACTTCTTAACTCATAGCTAATCAGAAACTAGAACTACCCTTAGAAATAATCCTTGGTGTGTAAAATGAACCAAAACTATTCATCAGTCCAGAGTGAGATCATGAGGGATTTAAACTTATGGTATCCCAATAGTATTTTCAGAAAATGAGAGTTTAATCCATTGGAGATTTGAAACCAGGCATATTCTTGTCTTCTGGCTGATAGATGTTCTTTTGATCACCAGAATGTTGGGCAGGTAAAGCCTGTGGTAGTTTCCACAATTGTTTTATATGTCTTTATTTTTTTATTATTTATTTATTTAATTTGTTTTTTCAGTATATGAAATTTATTGTCAGATTGGTTTCCATACAACACCCAGTGCTCATCCCAAAAGGTGCCCTCCTCAATACCCATCACCTACCCTCCTCTCCCTCCCACCCCCCATCAACCCTCAGTTTGTTCTCAATTTTTAAGAGTCTCTTATGCTTTGGCTCTCTCCCACTCTAACCTCTTTTTTTTTTTCCTTCCCCTCCCCCATGGGTTTCTGTTAAGTTTCTCAGGATTCACATAAGAGTGAAAACATATGATATCTGTCTTTCTCTGTATGGCTTAACCACAATTGTTTTAAGGAGTCCTGGCAGCACCTGGCTCTCACTGAGATGGTATGTGTTTAATAAGCCTAAACTAGCAAAAAGCAGGAATGATGACTATACATGATCATTGATGCTGTCTGTTGACAGCTTACTTTGATTCTATCTGTGGAAGTTTCTAGGTAGGGAACCTTCTATACTAATAGGTTCAGTGAAAGTAAGTGACTTGTCAACAGAACAAGCAGGACGCTGTCTTCCATCAGACTCCGTGCTCTTTTCGTTGTCTCGCTTCTTCTCGAGCAAAATGCTCTGAGTGTGCTCCAGAGATGGAAAACAACCAAAAGTTCCCCTTTTTCATGTGACTTATGAAAGATCAAGTACCTAATTTGATGAACCATTTGGTAAGCTGATTATGGAGCATTTTGTTGTGGTGGTGTTTTCTTTTTGGCCTAGTTGCTATTTATGATTATAGTTTCTGGCAGTTGGGAGTTGTGTGTGTGTGAGTGTATTTAGCCTCAAAAGAGCTATGGCTAGCTAGTTGATTGAATAAGAAAAATGGTTAAGAGTATGTGGTAGGAGGCTGATGTCAATAAATTGAATAAGTCTTCCTGTTTTTATTTATTGCTGTGTTCTTCCAGCCCTGCTTAGTTATGTTAAATACCCCTGACCTTTTCCCCTGCTTGCCTTTCAGGGCCTAAACATTCATATAAAGGCTTCCAATGTGATTAGCATTGATGCTTCTGAGATTGCTTAGAAACTGATGGTCAGAGATTAATTGTGGGTTGCAGCAGTGATCAGCCCAGGAGGCTTTTACATCTTCCTCTTCCCTGGATTGAAAGTGCTTCTGGGGCCATATGGCAGAGTGCTTCACAGAAAAGCCAAGAATGACTTTGTGGCTGGGTTCCAGGTTATTATTTGCATCCATTTTAAAGTGGAAGTTATAGTGCTTTGGGTTTGATTTACTGTGTGCTAATGGGATTAATCCTTAACTCGAAATCACATGGGTGTGTGCGTGTGTGTGTCTAGAATCCAATTCCAGTAATGTTATCAATATTCTATTCAGGGAAAGATTTTATTGAACTATGATTTTCCTTATATGTATGGAAAGAAAAACAATAGTTAATAAGTATCTGACCCTCGATTGACTTATTTCCTTGAAATAAAAAGTTTTGTTTATAACAAAAAGTGAGGTTGCCTGACTGGCTTTTTCTGTATGCTTATTTTATTTTAACTTTTTTTAAGTAGGCTTCATGCCCAGCATGGAGCCCAACATGGGGCTTGAACTCACAACCCTGAGATCAAGACCTGAGCTGAGATCAAGAGTCAGACACTTAACCACTGAGCCACCCAGGCTCCCCTGCTTGCTTTTTTAAATACTCTCTAATTACCACTCAGTTAAATGTCAAAATGTCCTCCTTACATGTAGAGGGGTTATTGTGGTCTAGTTTATGTGCATGTTCATATGCATGCCTCCTGGCTCAAAATAGGCCTTCAAATATACACACCCAGGACTTGGAAACCTAAAAAAAGAAATTGGTGTTGAGAAGTTAAAAAAATCTAAAAGTGCTTGATTATTATAAGAAGGTCTTCATTCTCTCTGAGTCTCTCTCTCTCTGTGGGTGCCTTTTCTCTCTGGTGCCTTTTCTCTCTGGTGCATTTCTGTCTCTCATTCTTGTGACTTTCGCTCATGTTGTTTGTCATTGTTTTTATGTTATTTTCACTTGCTTTCATACCAGGATAATTCATTTTATTTGGGTGTCTATGCATAGTTCTTTCAGACTTCCCTGTTGTGGAATTTTAGACTTCATGCAAGGGTTTTAAACTTATTTCATCTTTCCTGACTTCCTACCTCCTTCTTGTCTCTCATTCCTTCCATGTCACATGGCACTTCATGTTCCATCCAGATATTTGGTTACAGAGTGATTTGAAATTAGGCTTGGAACAACAAATAAACAGAATACATTGAGATTCTCTTTGATTTTGTACCTTTAAGGTGAGGACCTGCAAAATAAACAATAGTGCTTGGGGCGCCTGGGTGACTTAGTTGGTTAAGTGTCCGACTTCGGCTCAGGTCATGATCTCACGTTTGTGAGTTCAAGCCCCATGCCAGGCTCTGTGCTGACAGCTTAAAGCCTGGAGCCTTCTTTGGATTCTGTGTCTCTCTCTCTCTCCCCTGCTTGTGCCCTGTCTCTTTCTCTCTCTTAGTTCAAAGCCTGGAGCCTCCTGCAGATTCTGTGTCTCTGTCTCTCCCCTGCTTGTGCCACGTCTCTCTCTCTCTCTCTCTCTCCCTCTCTCCCTCTCTCCCTCTCTCTCTCTCTCTCTCAAAATAAATAAACATTAAAGAAAAATAATAAGCAGGGGCGCCTGGGTGGCTCAGTCGGTTAAGCGTCCGACTTCGGCTCAGGTAATGATCTCACGGTTTGTGAGTTCGAGCCCCGTGTCGGGCTCTGTGCTGACAGCTCGGAGCCTGGACCCTGCTTCCGATTCTGTGTTTCCCTCCCTCTCTGCTCCTCCCCTGCTCATACTCTGTCTCTCTCTCAAAAATAAATAAACATTAAAAAAAAAAATAAACAGTGGTGCTCATTTGTAGTAGGTGATAATGACTGCCATACAATCTTCCAGGAAAGTCAGTATTGCTAGGGTAGTAAATCTATAGTCCCAAGAGTCTCTTAGAGTTACTAATTTGTCATTGTGGTTATGAAATATGTGAACTTGTATGCAATTTTATAAACAACTGACCACAAATAGAAGCAAGGGACCCTTTTTTATGTTTGGGGGAATTATTTCTTAAGGACAACAGCTATTTTCTCCTTACTACACAATAGTTCTGAGGAATTGGAACTTTTTTACTTTAATTGAATCACATAGTGCATCAGTTCATCTCTAAGAATAGATGGTGGCTGCCTTTGTATTCATACTGTTTCCCTCTACTAAGTAGTAAACCTAGAAAGGGATTTTGCAATGGTTCCCAAGATATTCATTTAGTAAATCACATTTATTTGATACTGGATGTTTAATTAAACTGCCAAGTGGCTTCTTCATTTTGACTATCATTTTGATTTAAATAAACTCTATCCTGGTTGACAACATTGCATAAGAAACCAAGCTGAAATCTGCTCTCTCAAAGATCCTTTCTTTCAGCAGGCAACTGGATTTTAAGAGTATTTGTAATAAACATTTTAGAAAAGTAAGTTCTTTCAAATGAGTAAAAATGATCATATAGGCTCTCTTAAACTGTTTTTAAAAATCAGCTCAATTTTATTGTACTTTATTTTTTGAATTAGTTCACTTTTAAATTTAGTTAAAATACTTTTCTGATGTTAGTATTCTTTGCAGGAAATAAATATTCACATAAATTGTTTTCTCAGAAATTTGACCCTGAATACAGAATTTCAGGTCATTGAAAACAGGATCATTTGAAATCTACATTTCCTTCCCTTTTCCTAATTTATTTCAGTTGCTCAATAGGATTTTCTCATGGAATTAACTTTTCCCTCTCTGCATAGTTACATTAGCCTGCTTTCCTAATCATGAAAAATTTCACCCGTTTCGGCACTTATTAAAGTGAACTTTTACTTGAAGCGTTTCTGGTTGTAAAGCCAGAGTATATGACTAGAGGCAGATAAATAATAACTCATCATTTATAGCTCAGAATTGCTTTATAATTTTTAAATGCCTTTGGAAAGCTTGATCTTATGCCCAAAAGCATGCTTTTGTGTTTGAAATCCTTTAGTGAACTACTTATTCAGGTCATATGCTTCCAAAGCCCTGCTTTTCTTTCCTCAGGATAAATTGCATTATGTGTTACCATTAACAATGCCACATCATTTCAAAGGAAACTAAATTAAGTAGTGCAAGTCCAGGTTACTGGAAACTAGATGAGTAGGCACTGTTTTGGTCACTATGCAAAGGGTATATCTGTTTAATTACCAAAGATTGTCAGGCCCCAAATACTTTGTCATGCCTGCTTGTCATTACTGTCACCACCCACTGCCCTCCCTCCCTGAGTACAATCCTTTGGATTTTTTTTCAGGTACCATTTTTGTTCAGTCATTTAACTACCTAGCAATATTGTGAATTATTAGTGTTTGCCATTGGGAAAATAAGCATTTACTCACTGGCCTAATTGACTTTGGGGGACCAGATGGTGCCTTCTCCCTGGAGAAGGACAGATTGGAGAAATGTGGTTGTTAGAGAGTGCCATCTGACTTGAACAACTTTTAAGAAGCCTAGTTCTAGTTGATTTTTGTCTTTTCCAGATGCTGTTCTAATCCAGTTTTCCAGTTTTCTGTCATTACAGAATTGCCTTCCTTTACTTAGTAGCAATGTAGATGTAGTTTTGTGGGTCATTAAGGTATTTATTTATTTATTTATATTTATATTTTCATTAAGGCATTTTAAACCACCCTTTTTTATTTTCTTTATTTTTGATCTCTTTCAGGTTGTTTGAAGGACGTTCATCAAGGAAACCAGAGAAACTTAAGACACTCTTCTGCTATTTTAGAAGAGTCACAGAGAAAAGTAAATTTCTTTCATTCTTAATATAATTGTTATCACTGATGGGGACAGTTCAGATTGAGTGACAGGTCAGAAACATTTGTGTTCAAAGTACACCTTCCTGCCCAGACCAAATAATTCAATATTATAATTCAGATTTTATGTGTATGCTATGTATGTACATTAAATGTGTGCTATGAATATGTGTGACTTTTATATACTCTGAAATTAGAACAGTGGAACATACTTTAATAAGTTTTCATGAATTAAAAACAGTAAATTAGTACTTTGAAAAGAAAATATATTGACCAAAAAATATATTTCGAGTGTCCTTCCTTCCTTCCTCCCTCCCTCCCTTCCTTCCTTCCTTCCTTCCTTCCTTCCTTCCTTCCTTCCCTCCCTCCCTCCCTCCCTCCCTCCCTCCCTCCTTCCTTCCCTCCTTCCCTCCCGCCTTCCTTCCTTCCTTCCAAGTTTGTTTATTTTGAGAGAGAGAGCGAGTGAGTGTATGCTTGCACGCCCAAGTGGGGAAGGGGCAGAAAGAGGAAGAGAGAGAATCCCAAGCAGACTCTGCGCTGTCATTGCAGAGCCCAATGATGAGGGGCTCAATCCCAGGGCCATGAGATCATGACCTGAGCCGAAATCAAGAGCCAGATGCTCAACCGACTGAGTCACCCAGGCACCCCAGGTGTTCTTTATTTAAAGAAGCATTGACTATTAACAATTAGTTTATTTGCAGAGGACAGCCAATTTGTTGCCTGCTTACTCATCCCTCTCTTTTGTGGCCCCTTTACACACTGTAGAATTCTTATAAAATTCTTATATTGTACTTAGTGTTTACATGTTTGTCTTTTTCTGTTGGACCCTGACAATCTTGTTTTCCCAGATACTAATTGTGACACCTGAGGCAGTAGTGGTAAATGTATAACCAGTGCTGGTAGCGACCAGCTAATAATAGATTGGTATTGGCACTCTTACCCTAGGAGCTGGGTGACCCAGACAAGTTTCTTAACACCTCTAAGCCTTAGTTTCCTGACCTCTAAAATCAAAGAATAATGATAATTACCTCATAAGGTAGTTGTAAATATTAAATGAGAAGTTACATACTTAATAATAAATGTTAGCTATTATTAGTGGGTGGCCTTTTCTAAAAGTTGATTATAAGAGAAACCAGAGCATCCCAAAGTTTGCTTTTGTTATGTAGAGAAAGTCAACTCTGGTCAAGTGAAATGAGTTCTTTTCAGTTCTGGCCATTCAGTTGTTGGTTTGCCTTAAAGCACATCATTGAATCATTTTAAGGTCAATATTCTCATATTCTTCCTTTAGTATGTAATCTCACATTATAGTATACTTGGCATTTTTTTCTTTTTGAAGGTATTGCTGTTGAACATTGTTCAGATTTTTGGAAATAAATCAGTTACCAGGATTTTGGTTTTTAAGGAAAAAAATCATGCTTCTTTGGAGAGTTATCTATTTCTTATTTTTAGTTTTGTTCATTATACTGAATAAAATAATTAAGGAAATGAAGGCTCATTTGTGTTTGTGAGACATAAAGCCAAATTAGAATTTGTAATAATTTTTTGGAAAGATGAGTATATTTTTGCTATTATAAATTTACTGTGCTAAACAGAATGAATTCCATTATTATACCTAAGTAATTCAGAGTTTACTTTTCTGTCCTTGGAGTCAAATTATGTATATCTTCTCTAGACACTAACTTGCCTAAGTTTTAGGATTTTATTTATTTGAGGGAAAAAGCTAAAATTCTGTTTTTTCAACTAGAAATTTATAAACCATCATAAATATTAGGAATTAGGCTGAAAAAATAAATTATAATTAGGCATTTTATTTTCTGGGTTTTTCATTGTACATGGTAATTTAGTCTTTTGTAGAAATGTAATGAAACATCTTACAAGTTTTTAGGATGGAAAGCTACAGGCTTAAGGAGGAAGTAGTGGTATAAAAGAGGTTTACAAGTTAATGATTACCTTATAAAGAAGTTCTGAAGTCTACCGAATAGAAACTATAAAAACCTATTTAAAGTACTGTATTTCATCATATCTAGGATATCGTAGATGGTAAAAAGTGTCATGTTATGTACCACTAAGAAGGAAAAAACACTCAGGATGGGCAGTCATAGGAGACCTCTCTTACAAAGCTGATACACCAAAGGTCTGTACCTTCAGTGTAAGGATAGTTGAGAAATGTACCTGGCTGTGCAAAAAGGAGACAACAAAGGAACTGCAAGTGCCAACCTTGGCACTGGCTAGAGAAAGGACAAAAAAATCTCCCCTGAGAATTTGAACCACAAGTCTCAAGTTTGGGGTCTGAAGTCATATTATCAATGTGATCCACAAAAGCCTGCAACAGAGGACTTAATTCAGATCTAGATCAGGTTGGTGTTGCTCCCAGATGACTAAGAAGCAGATGCACATTTTCTCTGGAAAAATTCAACTGTAATCTAGACCAGTGGCAAAGGCTAGATACATTCCATTATGAAAGCTGTATCCCAGTTTCAGAAGTTTAGTACATGAAAAACATGCGCCTTTTAGAATTGATAAAATGTAATTCCGTCAGGACCAACTTTTCAATGTTGTCAGATGTCTATATTTTATTTATTTATTTATTTATTTATTTATTTATTTTTTTATTTATTTATTTATTTTGAGAGAGAGGGTGTGTGTGTGCAGGAGGGGCAGAAGGAGAGAAGACAGAATCCCAAGTAGGTTCCACAGTCAGCACAGAGCCTGATGTGGACTCGATCTCACCACTGCGAGGTCACAACTTGAGCTGGTCTCAAGAGTCGGATGCTCAACCGACTGAGCCACTCAGGTGCCACTATATTTTATATTTTAATGGAGATCTTGAGGTTTAAAGATTTTTAAGGGCTTTCTGAAATAATTTCAATATAGTTTTGGATAAAGTATCTTATAGATGGAGTATTTAAAAATTGAGGATTCATATGCAGCATATATTGTGATTTTATTAAGGGAAATATTTTATTAATCAAAGTAACCTAGCATAAAAGTTACCTTTTTATGTAAGAAAGGTAAAAAGAATGCTCTCAAGGTATTTCTGATATTAATTATATCCAAGGAACCATGTTCTACCTTTTTTCTGGCTTTCCCAGCAATATTCATTTATGAATTTCTCTTGGGATCTCCTAATATATCTGAAGGACATTTAATATATGAAGGATTTTAATATGTGAAGGACATTTAATATTCTTATTTATCTGCTAATTTGCTGAATGATAATACTGACATTAGTTTCTTATAAATAGAATTGCTTCTCTGGTGTTTGAATTGTTTGATCTCATACTTATGAGTTTTAAATATGCTATCCATTTGCCTTAGAGAAATTATTTAAGGAAATCTTAAGAATATTTTATAACCCATATTAACAAAATTCTGTTTTCTACAGTAACTACTCCATATGATTTTTGAGTTGTTACTGCTTGTGACTGAGAGCAGAGAAATGTGGAATCATACAGAGGAATGAAATGATCGTCAAGCTTTCCTTGGGCCTCTACCACCGTTATCACTAATAGTTCCTGACATATCTCTTTGCTTAAGAGCTTTTTTCTTTCTTGCTTTCTTTCTTTCTTTTTTTTTTTTTTTTAACAGAAGAAAACAGAAGTGGCCTGGCCTTTTTAGTTTGTTCTTCGATTTGAATCAAATTACTTTTGGCCTGCTGATTTATTTGTTGTTTTTGCCACTAGTTTAAAAAAAAAAAAAAAAAGTAAACTTAACAGAAAAGGATCATACTCCTTTAACATGTACTGCATTTTGATCCCCCTCCTATCTATCCCTCCTTGACAACTACGTTGTCTTTCTTTTCTCTAACCTCTTAGAACATAGCAATTCCTCCTTCTAGTTAAGTTGCCTTGTAAGTAAAGCGATTGCATATCATCTGAACCCTGGATTTTAACCATGTCAACTCCAAAAGGCATGCCAACAATTTGTTTTTTAATCACAGACATTTTATTTTATTATAAAATGCATAAATGTGTATACACTCATCAATCTTCAGGTGTAGGATCAAGACCTTTCTTTGAAAAGGAGTCTACAGATTAAAATTTAGTTTTGTCTTTATTGTATAAGCTACACCCATTAATGCACCTTTTTTTTCCAATGATTTTTCACAAGTATATTCAGTTTAGAAAACTTTACCAGTAAGTATCAACTGTTGTGCTGTTGTTTGTGTAGTTTTGTTTTTCAGTAAGGATTTTATAAGCAAGAGTTCCTACTATAAGGATAATATTATTTTAAATCGATCTTCTGTTGTATTCTAACACTAAGCTTGGTATTTTCCGATTCGTTTTACAACCATTGTTAGATCCATTCTTTTACTGAATGTATATAATCTTTTCAAAATCAAAACTTCTTTTGGGTGTGTTTTTCTTTTATTGCTTTTGTAGAACCTACTGGCTTGGTGACATTTACAAGACAGAGTCTTGAAGATTTTCCAGAGTGGGAAAGGTAATAGTAATAAAAATAATCTGGGAATCCTAGAATTAGAAGGACTCTTTTACCATGCAAGGATTCTATTTCACAACCTCAGGAAAAATGGTTTCCCAACCTCTTAGTTGCCCTAGTGCTAGGGGAGTTTCATATCATAAATGATCCATTGATAGCTCTCATTGGTAGAAAGGCCATGCTTTCTGAATCAAGGCCTGCAAGCCTTTGACTTCTACTGTTTGCCTTAGTGGATTTTTTTGTTTTTGTTTTTGTTTTTATTTTTGTTTTCTGAAACAAAATCTTATTTAGAATTAAGGAGTTTGTGTGTGAAGACACTAATATTAACTAGAACAACCAATATATAATGTTCAGTCTTACCTCTTCTTTTGGTTAGTATATATGTATTTTATGGCTTTTCATTCTGGAGGACAAGATGTTGGAAAATTTTTTCATTAAACTAAAATGTAAATAGTAATTACTTAGAATTTGTCTCAGTGACAAGAATTTTGAAGTTTGGCTATTCACATGCAGATTTTGTGGAAGTTGCTAATTTACTGGGGCTTTTTTTCTTATTATTTACCTACAGATAACTGAGAAGAATAATAATCAATCTGAGTTCATTCAGATTTGTAAGTTCCTTGGGGCCCTGAACTAGTCAATACTTTCCCTAGTCTAGAGCAGGTCCCCATATCACCTAAAGAGGAATAGATCACCTTTTCCATTGCACATGAGAACATGATCAAACATACTAAATGCATATTTTGCATATGCATTCGTGTTGACCAGTGCCTCTCATTTTCATTTTCCCATAATTTTTATCATAGCTTTTAATTATTTCCTTTGGAATTAGTGATGAAAGGGACTTACTTTTAAGGAAGTTAACTTGATAAAACACATCTGCTTAAGTGGCTTTCCTGTGATGTTTTTTTATCCATCAAAGACGTTTATTTGTGAGGTGAAAAAAACCAAACAAACTTACATTAGGAGCTGACTGCATGGCTGAGATGATTATTAATAGAGGGAAGTGGGTAAAAGTTTAAACAACCTGAAGACAAAAAACAAAAACAAAATTGAGCCAGAAAGGAAGAGAACATGTATAGCATTTTGGAGTCTTGGCATATTAGAGATGAAAGGGACCCCCAAGAAATCATCTGGTCTAGCTGTCTACTAAAAGTATCAGTCAACTCTACCTGTGACAGATGACAGACAGCTTCAGTGTTGGGAAATTCACTCTTTCACCTCAGTGTGTCCCATTGTTGATGTTCAACATCATAATGCTTTCTTGACCCACCCGCATCTCTAACAGTGCACATAGGTAACACACTAAACTTACTCTTTTCTCTGTTTCACATATAATATGGATTCTAAACCCTTTATATTTGTTCTTGATCTACTCCAGGCCATTGGTCTCTCTTAAAATATGGTGTCTACAACTAAAAGTAACAGTTTGCTGCTATCTGCCCAGGCCAGGGTACAGATTGCTTTTCTTAGCTTTTGTGTTAGTATCTGACAGGAATACAGACGTTTTGTTCATCTCACTTTGGTGTAGATTTTATAGATCATGCAGAGGGCTTGTTTTTAATTCAGCTGCAGATCTCAGCTCTTCATCTGACATTCATTTGGCACTAAGGGGAAAGGACACCCATTTGTACATTACCATCTGGGAGAGAAGGGATAAGTCAAAATGCCAACCACAATTGGCAAGGCTGCTGTGTCAGTGAGATAAATTTGCCCCTGAGTAAGATCAAGATACTCCCCTTAACTTTGATAGGCACAATTTGACTTGATAACTTTTCTAACGTTTTTGTTTCATTGATCTCTTTTTGTTTTAGCTGCTTCGTAAGTGAGTTGGAGAATGTAACTAATCAATCTCCCAGATTCCACAGAACCAGAAACATGCATTCACTTTAAGAGGGAGGATAAAGAAGAGATGAGGATTGTTGGTGTTCCCAACAGCAAGGGGCTAAATGAGAGCCAGGAAGTTGGAGGTTTTTCTCATTTCCAAGCTTCTGCCATGTTACAGTTAACCCAGCAGTCACCAGTGACTACCTTAGCTGGGCGTACTTAATCACAGAGAGTCACAGTCATCTGTCTTTGATTCCTAGTGCGGTGGTATGAAAGATTTGCTTGGGCCAAAAGGGGACACCTGTCAGGAAGTTGGAGGATGCTTTTTTAAAAAGTGGCTAGCAATTTCATAATTTTATTGAGAGCTGTACTATATGTTGACAGCTTCCATCATGGAGAATAGTTGATGTCAGATGAGATTTGTTTTGAAGTCCTGGCTGACAAACTAGAGATTTCTGGATCGTGCTTCTTTGTCTTTTCAGTAGTATCCTCATGGATAGTCTCCCTTAGCATAAAATGGCTAGGAAAATAGGATCAAAAAACAAACGAAGGAAGTTAAAAAAAAAAAATCAAACTTGTGTCACTACTTTCTACAAGAGATTTGGAAAGTAATTTTTCTAAAGGTGTAGCATACCGGTTAAGAGTTTGGACCACTGTTAGGTTACCTGGGTTCAAATCTTTGTTTTGCTTCATTTACGAGACTTAGGCAGGTTACTTAAATGCTCTCTGTGTCTTGTTTTCCCATCTGTAAAAGGAGATGGTAATGGGGTTGCTATCAGGATTAAATGAGTTAATGCGAATGCAGCTCTTAGAATCTGTACTGAATTGCCTGCTGAGTTTAAGGCTCTCAGTCTTCTGGACTGGAGCTTCCCCAAAAATGTATTTGGACTCCTTGAAATCAGGAAGAATGTAAATCCCAGAAAGTAAATAGCACTCCCCCAGTTAAATTGTTTTTAAAAATGTGTAATTATTTTAAAAAATATGTAACTCCCCCCGCATGAATGCCACCCTTATGTAAGTTAGAGATTTGGATTTCATCTTCTTTATTAAGTAAGTAATGGGGAAAATCTATTACCAAAAAATGTCATCATCAAATACTATTAATAAAATGGAATTGATTGTTTAATATAATGTAAGACAGGTAAACACAGTAAGGGAGGAAAAAGTTTCTTCTTAACCCAGTTAGGATCCCAGACTGGGTCTGAAAATTAAACAGACAAAGACAGATTAACAGGAGAAAAGCACACAAATTTATTTAATATAAATTGTACATGTCGCAGGAGCCTTCTTAAGGAAATGAAAGCCCAAAGAAACAGACCCACATACTTTATACCAGGTTTGATAACATCTCTAAGGAATATGACAGATTAAGAAATATGAGGTAATTGTAGTAAACTGGGGGAAACTTAGCAAGGCTTGTTTGCTAGATTCTTGATACCCCTTCTTCTTTGGAGATGAGGATGCTGCTTTCCTCCAGATAGAGGGTGGGCACCTTGCACATGAGGGGTTTATTACAGGGAAGAACTGTGAGGAGGGGAGGTCAGAGTGACCCTCCTGTTTCTGCCATTTTCTCAAATTTAAAATATTTGTTAGGCCATGGTGTCACGTTTTAGGGTGGCATGACCTCAGTGACCATGGCTTATAAAAGGGAAAGAAAATAATTGGGACTTAGAGGTACTAGGTTCATCCATCAATTTTATTAATATAAAAATACAATAGATCAGAATTTCTGTGGCATGTATTTTCATCAAGATACCCCTGCCACACACACTCATGTTTATCAAAGTAGTGAAAATAGACCCTATCTTAGCATCATATATGATTTATTGCTAAATTTTTCTGTATTTTTCTTTGGGTTGCCAATTGTAGCATAATAACATTTCATAGATCTTAACTTTTTTTTATATTTTGAGAAGTTTTTCAACTCTTAAAGAAAAGAAACTGATATTTTATAGGAGAAATAATGGGTTTCAGAACAGCATATTATCCCATTTTAATTTAAATATGTGTATTTAATATTTGAATAAGAACAAGTTTGGGAGCGTCTATATCAAAAATGTTAACCAGGCATCTGTTTCTGGCTTTTAAGATTCGAAACAGTTTCAATTTGTCTTTTATATTCATGTATATTTCCACATTTTTCTGTAGTGAAGTATTTGTCATTGAAAGTAAAGGATTATCTTTTTAAATTATAGATGTGACAAACTCCTGACTCGATTGCATGTCACTTATGAAGGTACCATAGAAGGAAATGGTCAAGGCATGCTACAGGTAGGTGAATCACAATGTGTGTGTGTTTGGGACTCTCTCTTATCGAGTGACAGCAAAGAAAATTTGAAAACCTATTTGTTCATCTCCTAAACTGATTTAATGCAAAGAAGCATGATAGCAGAATGGAGAAAAACACCAAACAGATCATCTTGACAGCCTTGGTAAAGCTGTTATTTGCCAGTGTACTGTTTCTTACGTGTGCCTCTTTAAAAAGCCTTTGACAGAAAATCTTAAGATCTGGACAACATCAGACCTCTTAGTTCAGACATTGATTGTAGATTGACAGTGGAGGAAGTTCCCAGGGTATGGTCTTGACAAGCCATCACTAGGCAGTTTTGTTCTTTTTCTTTAAAGGCTGTTGCTCTGCCCCCAAATGATGACCAGCTTGAAATGTTTTTCTGCCCCCAACCTTGTTTAGGTCTTAGGACACAGACATCTAAAATTGATTGATAAGAAAGTCATCTCTCCCATATGTAACAGTTTTAGGTACGTGAGCCACCTATGCTTGCTGTCTCTTCCCCGTTTCAGAGCAGGTTATTTTGTCCATCTCTCAGTCTTTGTTATTTATCTGTGTCATTGCCTTCACTTTAAAAACATATATTTTTGGAAAAAGGAGTTAACAAAGAAAACACCCTGTGTATCTAGCTTTAAATTGTTGTAACACTTAACACATGTTTTCCTTTTGCTTTGTAGTGATAGTGATCTTTTTTCAAAAATCACTAATCTGAGGCAAAATGTTGGTGATTTGTGTTCTTATCCCATTTATAAGAGCATCACAATGTCAGTTTTCTTTGAAAGATGCTTATACATCATTTCACTTCTACTGGGAATTGCTGATTTTTCTTCTTAGATCCTTATTTGGTGCTTATATTGGGTCAGAATCTAAATCAGGTTCCAGAGAGTGGACTAACTTGTTTGAATAACTTAATGTATACTGTAAAATTACTAGACTGATTTGCATTTGCCTAGTTATTATATATTTATACTCTAAGTGCTTAATGAAACTGAGATTCTTTTTAGAATGGCCTTTTAAAAGATACATTTATAATTAAAATCTTCAAAGGGGCAAACCATGTTTTGTTTTAAATCACCATCTCCCAGTGATTTTTTTGAGATTATAAATAGAAATACTTAGGATAACTGGAGTAATATTTGTCTGGTACTTAAAAATTTTTTTTTTAATTTGTATTTAATCATTACTTTTTTTGTTAAATAATAATTTTGAAATAGGCTTAAAATTTACTTCAAATGAATGTTACTTTTCCCCCACATTTACATTTTGATGATGTTCTTTTCTACATTAAAGTAATAGATTGACTGAGAGAGTCTTAATACACATGAAATAAACAAAGCTACTGCTAGTTAGCGCTGTGGGAATGCTGACCTTTCATCACAATACAATTCAGCAAGGAATTATTTAACAACATTCAAGGTTGAGATTCTTCCCACTTTTCTAGAATATATTATAGGTGAAATGTGAAACCTCAGTGGATTAAAAGAATACCATAAAGACTTCTATTAATTATTCTCCCTACCCATGCTATGTATCCCCAGGAGATGGGAGAAATACTGTATTGCAATTTAAAAAGTTCCTTGTGTAGCATATAAGTTACATTATGCTGAATGGCAACAAGACCTCTCTAAGGATGGTTATCATTTCTCTCTTTTCATCAAGTTATAATTCAGAAACTGAATAATCTGAACAAATAGCTTTAAAGTGAAGTGAGCTGGAAAATGGCTAAAAATAAGCACTCATATGCTTGTGTTCATGTTCTGGAACAGGTTTCTCACCTGTAATAGAAAGCCTTCTATTAAGAACTTTTTTAAGTAGTGGAAAGTTTGATTTTTTTAAAAGACCCCTGCCTTCAGGGGCATATTGAGTTTAGTATAACATATTTATTTCTATGCATACCTTTCAAGTAATAAATGTTGGCCTTTTATTCAAAGAATGAATAATAGTATGCACATTGAATGTATTTCATTTATCATTACCAAGTTATACATAAATTATATAGAACTTCTTTATTTTAGTTATGTACCTTGTTCCAGTAAAAATTAAGTTTAGCTGATCTCAAACTTTGTTTCTCATTTGTATTCACGATACCATTATACTTACTTAGCTAGTCTCTTGGTTTTTAAGTGCTGTCTGTTTTAATTTTTTGCTGGACCTCTCTTTTCTTCAGTTTCTTTCCCACTGACTTATTTGAGGCCTAAGTAATTCTTGTCAAACCTATTTAGTAGTCACCTAACCAGCTTCTCTGCTTTTAATTTTACACCTTTCCAGTTCATTCTTTAAACTCTAGACTCAGTTTAAAGTTACAACTGGACCCTGTGTAAGGTCCAGTTGTAACTTTTCTTTTTATAATCATTCCAAGAATACCTTATCACCAACCATAATCCTTCACATACTCTACATCGCAGATAGGCGTGAGGAACATGCTTATCACTCTTCATAGAGCTGCTTACAGCTCTGTGTTTTTCCTATGTGTTTGTGCAGTTATTCCCTCTGCCTGAATGTCAGCAAAATCTAAATTGAATATCATCTCCTCTTGTAAACTCCCGTATTCTCCTCCCCATGCTCCAGTTTTAGTTAATTGTATTATTTGGAAAGGATCAAATATATTCTAGTAGGTTCTTTAATAAACACTTTTTCATTCTGCTTATGTGCTGGGATCTCATCTAGATTACAAATGCTGTGAAGCCAGGGCCCACGTCTTACTTATTTTTGTATCTCATGGTCCCCAGCACTATATTCAGTTAATATTTGTTGAATATTTTAAGTCATAAATCACCCAATGCATAATGACTTTATATATTGTAAATAATTCTAATCAATGGACTTGTTGAATCAAAATTATTTTTCTATATAAGCTACAGAGTTACTCTTTTTTTAGTGTTGATTTAGTATGTCTGAATATAAACTTATATATGATTCTGTGATAACTCATTTCAAGATCTTGTCCAGTCATATTTTTCAGTATTTTCTAAGTTCTTTTCTAATGAAAGAAGAGTGCTTTACCTTCTATTAGTTTCTGTCTTTCCACATATATTTTTATATATAAAAAAATTCATATTCTTGTTTTACTCTTTTGTAGAATAGGCTTCAAAGTATTGTTTAATATTACAATTGCTTTAGAGACATAAGCAACTTAAAAAAAAATTTTTTTAATGTTTATTCATTTTAGAGAGGAGAGGAGGAGGGACAGAGAGAAAGGGACACACAGAAACCGAAGCAGGCTCCAGGCTGTGAGCTATCAGCACAGAGCCCAGTGCAGGGCCCGAACTCACAAACTGTCAGATCATGACCTGAGCCAAAGTCGGATGCTTAACCGACTGAGCCACCCAGGTGCCCTGAGAATACAAACAGGTTTTTTTTTTGTTTTGTTTTGTTTTTTAATTTTTTTTTTAACGTTTTTATTTATTTTTGAGACAGAGAGAGACAGAGCATGAACGGGGGAGGGGCAGAGAGAGAGGGAGACACAGAATCGGAAACAGGCTCCAGGCTCTGAGCCATCAGCCCAGAGCCCGATGCGGGGCTCGAACTCACGGACCGTGAGATCGTGACCTGAGCTGAAGTCGGACGCTTAACCGACTGCGCCACCCAGGCGCCCCAATACAAACAGGTTTTAAGAAATCTTACATTTGACAGTAGTCTGAAAGTATATGTAAAATCATAGAAAAAAAATCTATATTGGTGTCTGCCCCTGATTCTTTGCACAGAGCTCCTGAAACCCTTGTAATTTCCTAGGTGATGGGAGTGTCTTTTGTTCTGATGAGGTGACTTTTGGTGAGCTCCTGGAGAGCTTTAGGGTGGGGGCTGGTTACCAAAAAGACTAAGCCATGATTAGAAGCTTGAAACTTTCTACTCTACTCCCCATCTTCTGGGAAAAGGAGAGGGACTGGAGACTGTGCTGATGATTGATTATGCCTAAGTGATGAAGCTTCCACCAAACTACCCAAAAGTATGGGATTCAAAGAGCTTCCAGGTTGGTGAACATGTGGAAGTTGGTGAACATGGGGAGAGGGAGAGGTAGCTCTATGCCTCTTACCATATACCACGCCCTATCACTTCATATGTCTATTCATCTCTATCCGTTATTATATCCTTTTTAATAAATGAGTAAACATAAGTAAGTGTTACCGTGAGTTCTGTGAGCTTATCAAACCACAAGAGCAGATTATGAGAACCCCAATTTATAGCCGATCAACTGTACTTCTAGTTGCAGTTGGTGTCTGAATAGGGGCAGTCTTGTGGGACTGAATTGTTATTAGCCTGTTGGATCTGATGCTGACTCCTGGTAGATGGTGTCAGAACTGAATTGAATTGTAGGACACCCAGCTGGTGTTTCAGAATTGCTCTATGTGTGGAAACCCATACATCTGACATCAGAAGTGTTGTGAGTGTGGTAGTACTGTACAAGTAGAGGAAAGAGAGTATGTTTTCTCTGTACAGTATTTAAGCCTCTCTTACCTTACTAAAATCTTTGTGGGTGTGGGTGGCTGTGTATGTACACAAGGTGTTATGTATGTGTGTAATCTAAATCCTCAAATAGAGTAATCTAAAAGTTGGAAACCATTTCTTACATATTGCCCCATAGAGCTTCGCATAATGTTGGACACGCTGGAGTGCTTAGTAAGTTTAAGACAAATAATACTGACAGGTAGAATTTGCTTTGTCTAGAGCATTGTGTAACTCATCTTTATTAATAGGAGCTTGGGGATCCCATTATAGTACTCCACAGAAAGCTTATGAGTAATTTTAAACTAAATTGGAAATATTAATTTAGTTGAATCTTTTTTTTGTTTGTTTTAATGTTTATTTTTGAGAGAGGGGTCAGAGTGTGAGCAGGGGAGGGTCAGAGAGAGAGAGAGACAGACAGACAGACAGACAGAATCTGAAGCAGACTCCAGGCTCCAAGCTGTCAGCACAGAGCCTGACACAGGGCTCGAACTCATGAACCATGAGATCATGACCTGAGCTGAAGTCTGATGCTCAATCGGCTGAGCCACCCAGGTGCCCCCTTTGGGTTTTTCTTTTAACTTTTTTTTTTTAATTCCAGTTAGTTAGCATACAGTGATATTAGTTTCAACTATACAATTTTTGATTCAACACTTAGATACAGCAACCCGTGCTCATCACCACGATGCACTCCTTAATTCCCATCACCTATTTAACCCCCCCCCCCCC